CAATCAGATAACAGGGGCTATACACATACATACATTCACACATTCATACGTACACGAATAAATGCATACAGTTCGTATGTAGTCAATAATACTGGTCATTTCAAAGCTAAATTAAGTAGAGGTGAATTATTTAAATTTAACATGTCATTCAAGAAGATATTAGAGTTTTTTAATTTGTTAATTTCTAGTGCTTCTAATGCATCTAATTTTAATCCTTTGTTACATGTGTGTAAAATCTTAAAATTGTTATTGTAAATATAATTACATTTAAGAATGTGATTGGCATAACAGGAAGTATCTCGTGGTTTTTCGTAGGCATTTTCGTGTTCCTTGAGTCTGAACTTGAAAGCTCTACCTGTATGTCCTCTATATTTCTTATCACAAGAACCACAACTAAGTTCGTAAATACCTGATTTGTTTTTTTTTTCCGTCTGGTCTTTATTATTTTTAATGATAGTTTGTAAAGTTTTGTTTGATTTAAAAGCTATGTTTATATTGTACTGCTTGAAGTGTTGTTTAAACTTTTCTGACAATTTGCCTACGTAAGTAATTACATGATATGGTGCAGTTTCTCTTGCGGACTAAGGGAAAACTTTGTTTATAGCTTTCTTATACTGTATATTTTTAATTAACTTGTCAATATTTTTCATTATTGAATGCAGACATTTTATGCGAGTACGGATAAATAGAATTTTTATGTATTGTGGAATCTGTGTGGGTAGGTTTATGGAAAATACTATACTCTAGTTGATCGTAAATTCTATGTATTGTTAAATCCAAAAAATTTATGCTATTGTTGTTTTCTTGTTCCAAAGTGAATTCAGTGTTTTGATATAATGTAATAATATGTTTGAAAAATAAATTAAGTTGCCTTTTTGTACCAGTCCAACAACAAATTACGTCATCTACGAACCAATACAAAAGAGAAAATTTTTACTAAGACCGTGTTCCATAGTTTTATTTTCTAAAAATCTCTGCTAAGAGTGGCCTTATGGGATCACCCATTGTTAGGCCATCTCTAGCTAAAAATATTCGGTTTTGGAATTGAAAACAGTTTTGTTTCAAGCAGACGTCAAGAATGTATTAAATTTCTTCTGAAAATAATTGGCTAGTAGTGGATCTACTAAGTAAATTTTTAATAATGTTTCTTACTTCTAATACTGGTACGCTTGGAAAGAGATTTTTTACATCAAATAAAATCAGAGTCAAATTTTTGGGTAGTTGTTGATTTTTTAAATTATCTATAAGTTGTATGGAATTTTGTATGCTGTAGGTGGATGTGAATTTAGTATTATATGCAATTAATTAATTAACTTTTTGGATACTTTATACGATAGGGAACTATTGAAAGAGACAACTGGTCTAATAGGCATATTGTTTTTGTGTAGTTTAATGAAAGAGTATAAATTTGGTGGCTGGGGATTCATCTGGACAATCGCATAGTACGGAAGATTTGATAGAATGATTAGGTTTTTATGTAGACTTATAACGTCTTGTTGGAATTTATGTGTAGGATCTTTTGTATGTTCTTGAAAATGACCAGAATTTATAAATTCAATGGTGTCCGAGACATAGTGAATTTACTATGGAACAAGAAAACAACAATAGAATTAATTTTTTAGATTTAACAATACATAGAATTTACGATCAACTAGAGTATAGTATTTTCCATAAACCTACCCACACAGATTCCACAATACATAAAAATTCTATTAATCCGTACTCGCATAAAATGTCTGCATTCAATAATGAAAAATATTGACAAGTTAATTAAAAATATACAGTATAAGAAAGCTATAAACAAAGTTTTCCCTTAGTCCGCGAGAGAAACTGCACCATATCATGTAATTACTTACGTAGGCAAATTGTCAGAAAAGATTAAACAACACTTCAAGCAGTACAATATAAACATAGCTTTTAAATCAAACAAAACTTTACAAACTATCATTAAAAATAATAAAGACCAGACGGAAAAAGAAAACAAATCAGGTATTTACGAACTTAGTTGTGGTTCTTGTAATAAGAAATATAGAGGACAGACAGGTAGAGCTTTCAAGTTCAGACTCAAGGAACACGAAAATGCCTACGAAAAACAACGAGATACTTCCAGTTATGCCAATCACATTCTTAAATGTAATCATATTTACAATAACAATTTTAAGATTTTACACACATGTAACAAAGGATTAAAATTAGATGCATTAGAAGCACTAAAAATTAACAAATTAAAAAACTCTAATATCTTATTGAATGACATGTTAAATTTGAATAATTCACCTCTACTTAATTTAGCTTTGAAATGACCAGTATTATTGACTACATACGAACTGTATGCATTTATGTGTGTACGTATGAATGTGTGAATGTATGTATGTGTATAGCCCCTGTTATCTGATTGTCGACCACGGCGCAACGTGTATGTTCTTGAGAGAGCGCTGTATATTATTAAGTCTTGATGTACATCTGTCTGACGAAGGTACTGTGATACCGAAACAGCTGTAACACGTTTTTAACGAATAAAGTGAAGATCGACAGTACATAATAAGTCTACTTTTTCATTTAATCTGATATGGATCTTCATCAAGTGACGACCGATAATATAGAATA